TAATATAAATACTTATTTATTCCTTATTATTGCTAGCGATTGTTTTTGGGTGAGTGGATGAGAAGAACCTCAACGTTTGGTTGTTCTAGTGAGGCTAAGTATATCATGCTTCATAATAGCTAAGTACACTAATAAGATTAACAATTAATATTATTAGCTAAAAAGTATATATTTCATAAAGTACATTAGTTTGTATATTTTAACATATAACATTAACATAAAATAAGAATAAAGCTTATATTTAAATAATAATAAAATATTCATAATAATATTGAAACATATATTTAAATCTATTTTATACTAACTTTAATATAGTACCCTCTTCCTCCTGCCTAATCAGAGCACACGTGATTTTACCCTCACGATATACATATATCGTATAATAATTATTATTATTGCCATATACTACATCACTGGCATAAGATCTTAAGCTGGCAAGACTTTTCGCTGCCATAACTCTACCCAAAGACCGCTTACTTAGCACCTCCCACACGCTGCTCCCCTGCTCCCCTCGCTTAATTGCCTTTCCACTAGCCTATTGATGTGTCTGATGTGCCAGTTTATCCATACATTTTTTACCAGCACACGCATTGCCCAATTTGTTGGGCTGCTCAGTTTGTTCTCTTTTTTTATTTTATTTATAACCCTTTCCATGCGCAAGCCTTGGCTTCTGTATGGTGCTTTGTGCAATGCCTTTTCCACATTTATCATTCCTAATTACTGGGACTAAGCTGTTTGTCTGTTGCTCTCCCTGTTGCCTCTCCCATTCTCCCGCCCGCAATCTCTATCTCCGTCTCTTTGATTGATCTACGCCTCTGCCGAGGCCTGGACGCTCGCTCGATTTATGGCCAGGCACCGGCAACGGCATCGGGGAGTGCAACTGCAACTGGTTGAAAATCTCATTTGTTGCGCTTCGTTGCTAATTTTAATATTATTTTTGGAAATCTTACAACTTGCCCTTTGGCCCCTGCGCCACATTTCCCCCCCTCTGTGCCCAGCTACCTACACCCTTTAGAGTGTCTCGCTTGATTCTTTGATGCCTCCGAACTGTTGATGTCTTTATTGCAGTCGCTCTTGTTGTTGTTGACGTAGTGGTTGTTGCTCCTCTTCTACTCCTTCTTTTCATATTATAATTTTAATTTCCCGTGGCTCGCTTTTCGTTTTCATTCAGCTTTCGTGTCTGTGGATCTTCATTCTGGCATCTTTACGCGACTTTGACTGTCTATAATTGGCTGTCTGACTGCCCGACTGGATTTGCCATGGCTCAACTCGCATCGCCCTCCCCTCCTCTTGCTTTCAGCAATCTATTCTCTTTGGGCTCTTTAGGCGCTGAGCGGAGCGGGTTGCGGGTGTTTGCTTTTAATCAAGATCAAGCGTGATAAATTAAACTCGCTGTGGGAATTGGAGGGCGTTGAGTGTGGGCAGTTCTGGAGAGCACTGATTCGACTGTGTCTCTTCGGGGCAGCTGCTCTTGAAATGCACAATAGAAATACCAAGAGCGCCAAATGCTGCTACTGAATTACAAATATTCAGAGCTAAAGGTCACAAGAAAATCAAATCAAAGGTCAAGTAAATTGTAAAAGAGCAAATTGATTTGCCAATTAAAATCAATTATTGTAATTATTATATGACTGATTTGTAATGAAAAATCGGACAATAATATATAAAAATAAATCTTAATGGAAATATGCAGTAAAACTGAATTTTTTTCATTATAGCTGAGGCGTTTTATAGATTTGTATACAAAATATAGTTTAACTATTTATAAAAAATTGTTTTTGAAAAAATGTCATAAAAAAAACATCAAAATTTATTAAATAATTATATTATTCATGACTAATGATTAACCATTGATTATTTTTTATATCTTACCGAAAAGCGAAACCTTAACTTTACTATAGTAATTAGATTAAAAGTAAAAAATAATTTGTGTAGCATATTGTATTAAATTTAAAAATTTTTTAAATTAACTAATATAGTCTTGAAATATTTATTTATAATATTTTATTACGTTCTATATATTTTAAAATAATTTTGTATTTATTAGCATTAATCAATCTTCACATCGTAAATATATCTATGTAAAATAAGTACAAAAGTTTTTTTTTTACAAATTTAAAAGGTACGTTTAAGAAGTGCTCTTTTGCAGATGCCGTTATGTTCTGTTTAAAAATGCAGCGAACTGATATTATTTCCGAAAAAATCGTTGTCCCTGTAAGGTAATAATACGGTGAAGCCAATTACAATCTAATATATATATAAAGATAATACATATGCTATATAAATATGAAACTGCTTTTCCGAACTAAAGAAAATTAAGTGGCAGTTCGTCTCTCCCGTCTACTACATTTTATTTCATTTTGCTGAGTAAATATAAAACTTTGATTCCACTTTAAATAATTTTCGACACATATTATACTTATAAATAACACAATAATTTTTTTTTGTTTTTGTCTTATTGATTTCTTTTTCAGTCTGTTAAGAACAGCTCATCATATGGAATTTTTTGGATAATATTATTCACAACATTTAATATGCTCTTTGTATAAACTGGCAATATGGTCTCTTCAATCTCATTCCAAAACTCGAGCCAATTGTCGTTGATCACGCGATTGAGCAAGAGAGTGAGATCCGTGTTCTCCTTAAATAAATTATCTGCAGTCAGTATCCAGCTAATAAGTAGAAATCAATTAGCATCTAGGTCAGACTCAGTTCTATTGCCAGCTTACCGATCCAGATCGATTTTGGTTGTCACTCCGTAGATCTTCAGATATCTCCGATTCTGGCGGTACTCGATGAAACTCTTGACATTCAGTGTCAAGTGCACATTCTGCAAGTCCGAGTGGGTGCTGCCACTCGAATTGGTATACAATATGACGCCACGGCCGCGCAGCTCGTAGGTGCCCTGACTGACGAGACTTGGAGTCCTCAGCTCGATAATCATTTTATTCATTTCCGGCTGACGATCAAAGCCCGATATGCTAATGATGGTCGCATTTTCCAGGCCCCTCAGCCGCTGGTTCTTCAGCTTGTAGCTTATCCAGAGTGGCCCAGGTGAGTTGATGAGCGTAATGTCGTCCACTTGAAAATCATCGAGTGGAGGCAGTCCCAATTCTGCATTGCCCTTGCCATACTTTCGCAAATACTGATTTGTGCTGGCTATAATGCATTTGTCATCTCCAAAGTAGCATTTCTGGATGTCATCGGCTGCGAATAGACGGGTAGAGTATTGGACACTAATAAAGTCTTAAGCTTACCTACGTAGACGTAGGGCATTGCAAAATGCCTTCCACGTGCAGATAAATATTATTATTTTTCTCAACATTTCGCTGAAACACTTCATTATACTTGATGGAGCAACAGCTCGTTAGGTAATATCGCTTGACATTAGAATTGCAGTTGAAACAAGTCGCAGTTGCATTTATTCCATAAACCTGTTTAGTTTCGAGAGTCGGCAGTAGATAGCATTGAGTCGAGCAACCGAGCAACCTTACTCAGATAACAGGAAATAGATGGATGAGAGTATATATTGCAACTAGCTGGCAGTATACTCTTGTTCTAAGTGGAAATAGAGGACTAACATGCCCCACTCGACAAGTTGGACTGTGAATATAGATATCAAACTTGTTTGCTAGTTCATTGATACAAATTGTAATACTTGAGAGAATTTTGAGTCAGAGAACTCATAGTGATATGAGATTGTCTCAAATACGTTATTCAGCAGTCTCGCATTACGTCATCTCGTAATGAGATCCTTCTCTGGATATACGTAATCCGATTCTCAGCTTCGACCTTATAAGCTGACTGATTTAAATTAAGGAAGATTGGTTTTATGTATGTTGTTTTTTAAAATAACCAGATAAATGGAATAATCATTAAAGAGATTCTATTTAGAGAAAATGCTCTATTTAATAATATACGATATATTCAGATTAGATAGATAGATTAAAAGATTTAAAGCCTTCTCTCTGTATATTTATAAATCTCTCTCCCCTTTTCGCTCTCTCCCTCATTTGCTCTAACTCTTCCTCGTCTTTGCGCTCTACCTTTCTTAGTGTCATATTTATCTGTCCAATAAACACGTACGTTAAATTCCTCACGTCGCCTTTCTTTGCGCTTCTCATTCGCTGCTCAGATCAATAAACTGCAGTCGCCTGCTTACAAGTCAATTTGCTTGTGTGTTAATGCAGCATTTATAGCAGGCCACACATCACATTTCAATGCATTTCACAATCAAACTGCCCAAAAGGGCAATAATCATCAACTTGCACAGCACATGGCCCTGTTAAATGGACATTTATATATAGGAGTATAGATATACTGCAAGTCAAGAATAACAAGAAGTGGAATACAGAGAATTTTTGCTGTTGCTGCAACATAAACAAATATCAAACGAAAACGTGGCCCGACCGCTGCAGCGGACCTCTCCCGATTCTGATACCTCGAGGCCTGTCAGTCAGCGCCTTTGGTGCATACCGAAGCGTATTCCACACACACACACACACATACATTCACTGGCAATACTAAGAAACTTGTGCAAAATGCTCGTTGTGCTTTTTGCATATAAATTAAAGTGCAATGAATGCCGACACTGAAAGACACAAAAGACAAAAGACAAAATGCAAAGCCAACTCGAACCGAACTCGAAGTACAACGCAAATTGCTGTCAACCGAAACCATTTGACAGGGGCTAATAGCTAAGGTCAACAATTAAACTCATTTTTCTAGGCTGCACTAAAACTGTCTGTTGGCGTGTTAGCTAGAGCCAGAGCCTGCGCCTCGAGGCCTCTATTGCCTCTCCTCTCTCACTCACTCACTCACTCACTCTTCCATACAATATTTCCCTCCCTCTCTCTCTTTCTATGCACTGCATTTATTTTAATGCTCCTCCCAGACAGCCGCCCCGTCGTCTATGTTGCTTGACTCTGAGGCTGCAAGCAAATACAGGAAAAATCAATCGCCCGCACTGCCAATGCGCCCGCATTTTCCGGCGTTGTACTTTTATACATACATACAGAAATGCATATGTATATAAATATGTATATATATATATTGTTTTTCTGGTTTGTTTTTGGTGGCAGACCCAAAATTTTACCTACACACGCGCTGCCTATGTAAATATTTGTCATGACCGCCTGACAATATTTGTGCAGACTTTGATTCCGTTTCGACTAGACTCGAACAATGGCTCGAACAACTATGACAAGAGGATCGCAGTTTTAATTTGAAAAATATTGGAAAGTACTATATGTTCACTACTACATATTCTGAAGTTGTAGACAAAATTAAATTCATTTATATAAAATTCATTTATATAAAAGACAAAAGTTAGGGAAGAATTGAAATGAATTGAGTCTGAAAGACTAAAATGTTATTATTTGTTTATTAGTTTCCATTCTTCATATTGTTTTATAATTGATTGAAAAGTAATGGGAGAACAGATTTAGTAATATTTAATTTAATACTATTTGTAATGGTTGCCAATTTGTAATATTGCAAATTGCAGCGCATGTCGTTTGCGACAACATTGTCGCCTGCGCTGCAATGCAATGCACGAGAGAGACAGAGAGCGGAGCTTTAGCGATCGAGCTTTCGTTAAGCTTACGCTGTGCTCGCTCGTCGGAGACAGTGGGAGAAATACGCTCACTAGCATCCCGCGGTCCGAAGCTTCGCTGAGAGCGAAACATTGAAACCAAGAACACTGGAATGTGGGCGTATAAAAAGCGGCCACATTGCCAGCTCCATCTTTTTCCGGCCCACATTTTCAAGAAGATACCCTCAGCGTGGAGTGCTATCCAGCTAAAATTTTTGTTAATAATTATATATATATCTATCTTTATATATATATTTAACAAAAAGAAACATACACAAAAGATTATTGCCCTCCACAAAAGATTGGAATTTTCTGAATTTGGCCCACCGTGACCAGCTGAGCTAGTCAGTCATTGACTTTGGTGCGCGCAGCCGCACGCATTTTTATTCGTGGGAAACAACAAGTGTGCAAGCAGGCAAAAAAAGGTATTTCGATCAAAATTAATATAAATTAAAACTTAGTTTACAGAAACTAAGTNTATTATATTATTTTATATTTTAAAGCGTATTCAAATTTCGACTAAATAAATTTAGAATTTCTTATTAGTTTCTATGTTGTTTCTAGCTCTGGAGAAGCATATAGAAATTTGTTTGTTGTTTTTGCGCAGTCGCTTGTTAAAATAAGTGCATGTGATGTGCGTGTGTGCGTGTGCGTGCGTGTGTGTGTGTCGCATGGCATTTCCGCTTTGCAGTGCATCACAAAAGTATTTCGAATTAACAGTAGTAAATCAGACGGCGCTCGCTTGCGCCCCGCCTCCTCCTCCTGGCGGACAGACAGTGGGGACAGCGCAGAGAGAGCAGCGAATGGAGCACGGCAAATTGTTGGGTAAACAAATATCAAAATGATTCGTGCCGCAGTCGCTGTTGCTGGCTTTTGTACATTTGGTTGCATGTTGCACCAACGGCCGATGCCCCAGCCACACCCTGCCCAGCCCCGCCGCCTGTCTTTCCACTGTGCTTTGGCCCCGATGATAAATATGAATTTCTGTACGTCTGCCACGAATAAAGCATTTCGAACAGCAGCATGTCAGCAATGCACTTCCCCAGCCAAAACTATGACAGACGTCATTCAGGAAGTGACAAGTTGCTCGGCTTGCGCCCAACTCGAATAACGCGCGGTGCAGCGGCAACCGGCCACAGGCAACAGGCAACAGGTGGACATGTTGGACATGTTTTTCCCAGTTCGCATTTGAGAGGAAACAGACGGAACTATTGGCCAGGGAGTTGCTAGAAGTAGTTCAACTATATATAAATTTACTTTTGATTGAATTGCTGATTCATAAAAGCATTGCTCATAGGAGCGAAAATATGGAAAAATACAATATATATATTTTATTATATTTTGTATTTTTATAGTACTTTTTTAATTGACTTTTTAATTTTTTTTTTCTCATTGTTGCTTTCCCATTTAATTGCTCCTTCCTCATCTTTAGAACCTATCACTCTGTCTTTCTCTCTCTCTCTCTCTCTCTCTCTCTCTCTCTCTATCTTTCTCTCTCTCTCTCTATCTTTCTCTCTCTCTCTCTATCTTTCTCTCTCGAAAATAAAAGTCCCTTTCGGGGCTCTCTATTTCCCATTACATCTTTTGAATTGCATCCTTTCAGTATTTCGCTCTCATTTGAAGAGGTTTAGTAAAATTTTTTATCCATTATACTTTGATTAAATTGTCTTAATAGGCTTTTAAATTATCCCAATTTCCCCACGTGCCAAATTGTCTATAACAAATTGCCAAGTTGCCAAGCAAATACTTTTGGTCTGAATGTTTTCGACGCTTTTCTTTCCGGGTCAAGCATTCAGCGATGATCGGTTCAAGGCCTGTCAATGCTGGCGTCCCGACGTCACAAAGTGCACAACGGTGAATGTAGAGAAGAAAGGCGATTACTTTGAAGATGACATCGAAGACATCGCCAATAGCCTGATCAAGGTGATGATCCTCTGCCGCCTGCCGGCCTGGCAGGCGCGTCGCACCAAGGAGCCAATCAAACGCAGCTTCCGCCACTACGAGGAGTTCCGCTACAGGGTGGATCGGGTGCCGCACAAACGCTTCGGCAAGGAGAACTTTCTGCACGATCTGGTCACCGAGGCCGGCATGAACCGCATGGACAGCCAGCTGGCCTACGGCATCACGAAGCGCGCCTTCCGTGCTTACTACCATGGCACTGGGGAGGGCGGCAAGCAGCTGAAGTCTTTGGAGTCCCAGCTGCGCCATCGCTCCGAGTGCATTTGGCTGCACGCGTCCAAGCGTACGGCGGAGATTTTCGCAGTTTACGCGGGCCTCATGTACTGGGAGCAGAAGCAGTATGAGGAGTGCATCGAGTGCATCTACAAGACGCTCTACGATGAGCTGCAAACGCGCATAATCTACGAGGATCCCGAGGGGCGGGGCTGCACCTGTCTGCCGGCTGTCTCACAGGCCAGTATGGCGCCCAAGACCGCATATAAGTATTGGGACACGATCTCGGTCAATACGATCGCCAGCATGAAGAGCGTTAAGACGACAGAACTGTTTTTCAACAAGGAGGTGAATAGCGTCAGCAAATTGACCTCGCCCATCTCTCTGCACATGGAGTACACGATGATCTCCATGGAGCATATGATCAGCAAACTTGAGCAGGCGTCCAAAGGTTTCACCAGCTCCAAGACCTCGGATAAATCCCAACCCAACAGGCGGCCCCGGAAGAAGAAGAGGAAGGATACGAAATGCGCTTGCCACAAGCTGCAGTGCCTCCAGGACCGTCAGGCGCCTGTGATAACTGCCG